TGCATGATTTGAGTGGAGGCTGTCTGGCTATCAGCCAACAGCACGGACAGGCGACATCCAGCCTCTCCATTTTACTGTATGGCCAAGATCGGTCTCTTTCTCCTCGTGGCACTGTAGCCCTAATGCAGAAAACCCAGTAACAAAATGAGATTAAAAGTATGGCTTCCCAGTCCCACTCTTCTTTCTCAACCCCTGTAACATATTTCATCTTTCTTATTGTTCATCCTTGACTGTACATGTTTGTGGGATCCCATTTATGGCTGAGGCAGCTGGCAGGGTAGCTCCAGAGGAGATGATGCCAGGTCTGCCTGGGCTATGCATCAGTAAGCATTTGTTTTATGCCTAGACCTGCCAAAAGCCCAACATCAGGGTTTCACTGCACTCTCCCAGCATAGCAATGGTTAGATTTCTTTTATCTCTGATGTTAATTTTCATGGATCCTTGCCAGTTTCTTTATGTACTACAGAGTTCCCCACTTCATTCGAAGAGAGCTGTATTCTTCGCTTCCTTATTCCCTCAAATACATTTCCCCCAGAAAACAGCTCTAAAAAGGTCAGGTTTTCTTGAACTTGGTGCTGGGAGCCATGGCTTCTGATAGCCCCTCAGCTGCATGGACATCAGGAAAGTCTTTACAATTAGAAGTTTTAATAAAGATAGACCTGAGCCAGGGGCTTGAATCAGACCATTACTACCTCTTGGAGTTTACAGACTCAGAGTTAATGTATATAATTAATTCATGCAAATATTTACATCGGCTATCTGCACCCCCAGTTTTATCAAGTAATTGGCTCTTGGTGTCACCAGAAGATTCATATGTAAGTGGATGTCACCATTCACAAACAAGATAGAGAAGACCAGAGTACACTACCTACACCCACAGCAGGATCACCAGCAGCACTGACACGCTAACCAGAGCTGGATCCATGTCAAGGATGAGGCAGACAGAGGAGAATAAGGCTGAAGACATACCATCCTCTCCAAAGCCTCACTTATGTCTGTAGGGCAGCTCACTTGTGCCAATTCACGAAGTTTCCCCTCTCGAAGGGAACCCACCTACTGGGGATAAGGTTGACAGTTTCATTCCCAGAGATTGGTGAAGGCAAGGAGGGAGAAGGGGATTGCAAGGCGGTACCAATGCACAGATTTAGCTCTTTGTAAGGAAGGCAGAATTCCATTGCAAAGCTTGTACCTGTTATTACTGTTTGTGTAAAATCAAGCCCACTGGGTTCTGATGCACCAAACCTGCCCATGCTTTCTGGTTACCTCTAACATGACCTTATACCCCAAGTGGTAGGCTCGGTTTTGCACTTCAGAGCTCTTCCAGAGCTCCAGTCACAGCTCAGGACCCCGCTGTGTGAGGCACTGTTCACCCAGCAGTACAGCTCCCTCCCCAGAGCATTTGCAACACCCAAAACTTACTTAGATGCATCTAAGCGGCTTATTAAATTCTGGAATCCTACATATACTCTGCTATTCAAATGAAACAACCAGATCAATTTTTATATACAACTTGTCTGCTGGCAACTATGCTTTATGACAAGACCTTGTATGTAAGCATAATAAAAAACATAAATGATAGACAAGACAGCATGGTTCAGTGGATTTCAATAAAGATTCTGAAAATAGAAATCCTTGAAGCCACACCTCATACAATAACTATAACCACCTTCTCCATTAAACACACATAGAGTAAAAGGCTACAGCTGCGAGAGGCCAACACTGCAGAGGGTTGATACTCATGCCAGTGGCTGCCCACTTCCACCTGCAGCATCACCCTCCTGGTGGAGGCTCATCCCCAGGAGAGGACATCAAAGACTTGGCCATCACCATCATTAGGGAGATATTGTTAGTGAGATACTGAATTCCCTGGGAGAGAAAAAACACCTTAGGTAATCATAAGCAAAACCTCATCTGCTTTTAAATGTTTTCCCTGCATTTTTAGGTCTCTTCTAGTCTAACGAGAAAAGCAGCTCTTCACTTTTATCAGAGTTCTCTTTTCTCTCCAGTTCTCATGCACCAGCTCTGTTGATACTGTATTTGGGTACTACTGGTGAAGGCTTACCGGCTTGAAATCACCATGGCTGCTGACAGTTTTCTCTTCAATGCCTAGAAATCCTTCTAGAGATGTGCAAGTTTGCTGAGGGAGGGATCAAGTTTAAGCTCTTCAAATTGCTTTAACGTAATCCTCTTCATTTGCCTTCACTAGCAAACTTCAGCCCCCGCTGAGCCTGGTTTGAGAGAATTAAGATTTAATCCAGACATCTTTTTTACCTGCCAGGCTTGCAAAGACAATTCCTGATTGACTGAGAGATGCTGTGGTGCCTTTGATATTCAATCACTATTTTATAATGGCTAGACTCCTCTGGCTATCTGAGAAATGGGTGACAGTGGAGTGTACTAACATCTTGCAGTGTGTAAATTTTATATCTATAAAAATATATTTTATATATATAAAACTTGAAGAGTGTCAGGGCAAAAAATTTTGTAAAGCAAATGTAGATGGTGTGGGAGCTTGCAGTGGTCCTGGCCCTCACTGGAGGTGCCCAGGGTACCAGCAGTGGCCATGTTGTAGGTGAGCAATAGCAAGCTGCTCCACTACTCCACAATTCCTTCTGACACTGGGGCTGTTCTGCAGATTTGGTCTTATAAGGACCAGAGGCAAGGCAGCCTGGGCCATTCTTTGCTGGAAAACTCTATGAAAATCCATCCCCAGGGTCTCTGGCACGAACAACTTCAGCAGGGCTGTTTCTGGCACTTCTTGCAGTGCTTTACATGGGGAACTCACTTTTAATGCTTGATCATTTGGTTTAAATCAGCTGCAATTTAGTTAATAAATGTTTTCATTTAACTGACACTTGTTTTGCCAAAAGGTATTCAGTAGATTCTTAAAACCTGATACAAAGCGCCTCTGACAAAGTCTTCTGTCATCTTTCTCCATCAATCTGATTTTACCTATTCTATTTTCACAAATATCTTTATGATAGAATTTGATATTTGCTTATAGACCTAAAAAACCATTTTCTTATGGACAGCTTATGCCCTGAAAAACATAGCTAACTAGTTGTCAGGGAAAAAATACAATATTTTCTATGCATGAGAAACATTTCATTCAGAGTTTTGAAATGTTTTGACTTTTCCAAATGATGTTTCAGTTTAAAATTAAACCAAATTTAAAGATTATGATTAAGATTGAAAACAATAATGCAATAGTGTCTTTAACTTAGGTTAAACAAAGTTTTTCATCCATTGCAACATTCCATCCTTTCTTTCCTTATTTTTTTTTTCTTTTCTATTTGTCTTTCAGGCTTTTTGGTGTTGTTACAATGGGAAAAGCACTGCTAAGTAAAACATTTGGGAAGGAAACACAAGAAAAAAGAAAAGTAATTTCAGACCAACCCATTTTCTTCCCAGTTTTTCCTGCAGTTCAGAGAAGTATTTACATGCACAGCTGTAATTGGAATTTGAGACTGTTTTATTTAAATATTGCAGATGTCTTTAAGCACAATCAAATTCACCAAGGCTTGTCTTTTTGCAGCACAGAGGTAGTCTAAGAAACAATATAGGGACCAAATCACCTTGAGCTGTAGGTTCTCCAAAAACCAAAAATCATTACATCATTTAAGGTATGAAATATGTAAACTACTGAGGAGAAATAGGATCCAGACCCAATATTCTCATTTCTTGCTTTTGATTTCCTGCTGTTATCATTACAATAATGAAATATTTTAACCTGAGGTTTCTCACCCAATAGGACCTAATTAAAGGCTTTTTAATTACATAGAAGTTAAAGACATCTCGTTCAGCTGTTTTTTTTCATTCCTTTCCCCTCTTCGCAAGTACCCTTTCACAATTGCTTTGCAGACTCATTCTATTAAAAAATTGGGAATTGCAGTCCATCTAATTCAGTCAAATCACAGTTGTATGCAACTTGCATGGACCAGTGGCTGAATTTCACACACCATTTGGAAAGTATGGTAGTGTTATTGCTGATTTGTTTCAATACCTCAGAAGCAATATTCCATTATAAAAGGGAATATTACTATTTTGGTTTTGGGTATAGATGATTTCCTACTACATTATCAGTCTTCATTGAATTCTGTTTAAATGTATCGCTGCCTATACATATTATAGAAGAGTTGATATTTAAACACTATTGTGGATCTGGGAACACAAAGAGGCATCAGACTGAAAAGCAAACTTTATTTCAGATGTTTTTTTTTGCCAGAGACCCTCTGTTGTAGCAATCCTGGTTGTATCAGTTGCCCATCTTGTCTGTAATTGCACCCTAACTTCAACAGTGCTTGGTACTACACGACTTACAGGGACATGTGTGATGACCTGAACCAGCAGGAAATCTCCCAGTTTCCAAGAGCCAAAGGATGACACAGGGATTTATATCTCTTGGTTCTCCTCAGTTTTGCTGCAGTTACTGCTATGAACCTGGAAAGCTTGTTCTGCATCTGAATGTCCTGGGTTGATTTCTTTTTCTCTTCCTTTCATTTTTAGTGTAGTTTGTGTTCTCCTTTCCATGGTCTTTTCTGGCCTAAGATGTTTTGAAGAAAATTGTAACTGCTTTTTTTCCCCCTGCTTTTTATGTCATCAAATGTCTTTTACACAAAATAGCTCAGCCTATTTTTTTGAGCAATGGGAAATACCCAGCTGGTTTAAAGACCGAGTCTCCTTGCTCAACTCTTACTTTCAAACTTGGTGGAGTTAAGACTTCCATTTGTATTATCTTTTGTCTTCCTAACAGTGACAAAAGGTGTCTTGGCAGCAACATTTTCTACTCCCCACACACTGTAACACTTTCACAGTAATCCTAAGCACCAGGGGAATATCAGAATATTCCTTGTCAAAAGTGCTACTCTCTTTGTATCTTGTTTCAGACCTATAACAGCTGCCTAGGAAAAGTAGTTGGATAGGGCAGGCAGACAGTGATTCTTCTCCCAGCATCTCCTCTCAACCAAAAAAATATAATGTTGCAATTACACAAGGAAAAGCAGAATAAAATATCAGATATATTTACAAATCTCCCATTTCACCAGTTTCACCAGACCTCACAAAGCCTGTGCTCACGTGACACAAATGATTTTGGTATTCACTAAAATACAAGTATGACTGAAGCATCCACGATTACAGTACCCCAAGCCCATGCATGATATTTCTTGTCTTTCTTCCAAACATTTGCTTGGTGGTAACTCCCTGTGGTCTTCTGCTGTGTTTTCCTTTTGAATTTTTGGAAGCAAAGGAGCGAGATCTGCTGCATGTCAGCATGCATCAGGCTTTTTAGCATAGATCTCTCAGTACTGAGAGAATAGCATCTGGATATCTGACTTCAAACATAGGAGAGCGACAGTTAATTTTTCTAATGACACACAAAACTACCAGGAGTGTTTCTGACATTTTCCATTTAATTCCCTTCCCCAAAAATCTACAAAACAAAACAACAAAGAGCTGCAGGACTAACAAACACTAGGCTCTCTCTTCCTTGGAAATCATTTGAACTTGCAGTAGGAAGTTGTTTCTTGTTGCAGATATTGTTAGACTATCATCTATCAAACCGAACCACTAAGTCCCTGGAAACAAAGACCATTAAGTGCCAATTAAAAAATATATTAAAGATTCTCCTTCTCCCCTCAGATTATTGTTATAGCTTGCTGAAAAGACACATGCAGGTATTTTTCTAATGGATGGTTAACTGAAAAAAGCCTAGTTCAAAATAACTTTGCTGCTATTAAAATTACTCATCTTTTGTATAAAACAGGATATATTTTGCCACAAAACTTGGCATCATTTCTTACAGATGAAATACTCATAAACTGCACAGTTCTTGAAAGATTCTGTTGAGATCTATATATCACCATCCCTAAACCAATTTAAACAAATAGAAACCATCCATGATGTCAATACACGTTGGATCAGATCCTATTAGAGTTATTTCTACACGCTGACTCGTTGCTTTTCTACTTTGAACACATTACCTGAAGACTTGGCCACATTGCAATGTTGTTGTTAGGCACAAGTTTCTACTACTAACGCTAAACTGGAAAAAAAAGAAAAGATCAAAGAAAGTTTCGACAGTGAAATTAAGGCACGTGAAGCTGAAATCCGCATTTCTCGCAATGTTTAAATCTTTTGGTTGCAAGCTTTCACTCCCTAAAAGGAAGCACCAGAGGAGATAGAAACAGGGTCAAAAAATGTGTGATAACTTTTCGGTCACTTACTCAGCACCCTCCAAGCACAACCCTTTGCAGTTCCTGAGGTTCATTTTGCAGCATCTTTCTGAGGCAGGTAAGTTGCTACTTTCTTTTAAACAATAGAAGGGAAGTCAAGCCACAAACCCTACACGTAAACAGAATGAATGAGCAAGACCTGATTTAATGGCGGTTTTAATAACAGCTAGTGCAAAAGGTATAAGCAGAAGGTACTCTCATCATTGTCTTTGTAACAAGTCCACCTTTCTGCCCCATGTCATCTATAGGTATGGACTTTATTATCTAAATCCCCAAACAAGCTATTTTCTTTTCCTAAAAGAGCATGGTCTCAAGTATGGTCCATCAAGACCCCTGAACCAGTTTCTTGGGCTCTGTACAAGTGATGCTTACCTGAACAATCATGCAGCTGCCTCCCATACAGCAACAGCAAGTCCAATCAAAAAAAGTTGTATTTTCTTTTTAGCTGTCCAGAGCAAAAGAAGTTTCCCCTCTCTCCATACTTGTCTAGCATCATCATGGCAATATAGTAAACTCAACTGCCTGGCCCTCTCTGTGCCTAAAAGGCATGAAGGACACAGAGGAACTGTGGGGTCTATCACATGTAAAATTTCTTTTGCAGCACATCAGAATCAGACATAATCTCTTGTGACATGACATCAAGACACAGTTTTGTTTCTTTCTTTACCCCAAGCTAAATGAAGGGTTTATATTCTGCTTGTGGTTAATGCCTATTTTCATAACCATATATCTTTTTAAGCATCTCTTCTGTATCACGCATCACTGCCTTTACAGCAGTGCAGCCCAGAACCCACTGATAACTTGGTTTTCAGAGGTGTACCTGCAAGGATTCTTTTCCTTTCCATTAATTTCACTATTATTCCCTTTATCACTCAATTTTGGCAGTGATTTCCCGAGGCTGAAGGAGCAGAGCAGCAATCTTAGCAGAGAGGGTGCCACAGCCATGCATAGCATCAAGCTGTGGTGAGCCCAAGGGTGGCAGATGGCCATTTCCACCACTCCACAGTAACACTTGTCATTGGGACTGCTGAGCTGCCCTAAACCCCACAACAAAATTGCTCTTTGTTTCCCTCCACCATCCATCAGAGTCTCCTCATTGGAGGAGCAGCTTTGGAAAAGATAAAACAATAAATGGGAGCAGCAGGCAATACTTTGTTTCAGTGGTTTCTTCATTCCAATGTGATCTTTTTCTTGCCAGACTGGGTTTTCACACCTTGGCCTTTGTGCTGCTAGGCATTTGTGTAATGGTGGGAAAGACTCTGCCATTCCCACCACAGCAGGAGATGTCCACCACACACATTCCCCACCACAGACAGAGTAGGTGAATCTCAATTCTTTTGTAAAGGTAAACTTGCAGGTAGGTGTTTGTTGTTTATCTTTTCAAACCATGTGTGCAGCATGGGGTCAGTCCATTTGTCAGCAGGTGACTATTATTAGAATGCAAAGGGAAAACTAGTAGGACCTCATTTGTTTTTAATAACTATTTCTTGCTGAAATTAGTGCATTAACATTCAAAACAACATTCAGTAAAGGAGAAAATTTTACAAATAAGGCCTCTCAGTCAAAAGTTCCACCTTTGTGAATAAACACAGTCCCAGCCATGAGTAAAACCTGGAGTGCCGTCAGGGCAGGGAGTTGCTTGGAAAAGTGGCCAAAAAGAGAAACTTTTCAGACTTTTGAATAAAAGGCAAAGTTTCCTTTAGCAAATATGAAGATATTTTAAAATAACACTTAAAAACATAGTTACTGTAAGTTTATACTTATGAGTCTTATTCCTCATCAGCAGATGGCAACAAGCACTTTACATCCAAAATCTTTTGTGACTAATTGAGGATGCCCACTTCAAAATCACAGCAACAAGCACACATAACATTTATTTTATAAATAAACATTAAATGTGTCTATCTATAAATATGTGTTTAAACACACATTTATTTTTATAAAACCTTCCTAGCCAGGAAAAGTATTAGTATCATCATCATTAGTCCATACTTCTAAACCAGAGTTCTCCCACCTTTTGAATACAACTGCTTGTTTCTATTTTCCACTATTGTTCCCAATAAGACCACTGTTTTTTGCAATACACTGTCGAGTACAGCTCACCTTTCCTGTCCTCTTTCTGCATACCCCAAAGGACAAAAACACATGTACAAATCCTGCATATTCTCTAGCCTCAGCATAGTTGGACAGGTATGATGTCATTTTCCTATCTTCTTAATATTGAAGCCCTTTTTATTTTCTCATGAGCTAAGTGGATTTGTACAGTACATTCATCCACACAGAAATTCATACCAAGAGCTGTGTGTTTGTATTAATCAAAAACATGTGGCAACACGCTATACGTGTAGATAAACAGCATGGGTAATTGAGAGAAATGTTCTGCTCAGTGTTTTGCTTGTTCTGGTGTGTCTGTTGCATTGGTTTGCATTTAATAAGGAAAATTAAACAGAAAAAAAAAATATGTTTTATAATTCGCTGCTGAAAAAGTTACAAATTTATAATATTCATTTTCTGGTCCCTACCCTGAGCAATAACTATAAAACATGAAGTCATTTACTCTAGACAGACACCAGATTTTCTTTCATATGCCAAATTCTTTAAGCTATATTACTCTGAAATTGGAATTGATGGAGGACATCTGATGTAAAAGATTCTTTTCTTTAAGTTTAATATGTCACATCACATGATCTTGTCAGGTGGGATCATGTCAATTATATTTATGCCATAATGTGAATCAGCCATGTACAAGTTGACTGTACTAACACAGAGAAAGGAGATAGATTATTTTTTTTTTGCAGTATCTCAGCCATCTTTCCCCTTTTCTTACATTTTTTTAAAGAAGAAAAAAATCTGAGTTACAAGCAGCAGCTAAATCCCAGACAACTTTCTACCAAGCCCAAATTCCTGATCCTAGTTTTGTGTGGGTGGATCAGAGCACCAATAATAGGAAAGCCATGAGATGAAAATGAAAGTGAGCTCTCCTTCCATTTGCTTTGGGCTCAGCTGCAGCTATAGCATTTTTCTTCTACAAAATTCAGACCTTGGTTTGCAGAGATCTTTTTCTGACTAATTTTCCCTCTTCGTTACATCACTGAAACATGAGAGGAACACGATCTGAGATCATCATTCACCTGAAGACGAGGAAAAATACATCAATGACCTGGAAATACCCAGGACCTTTCACATCCTCCCTGACATGTGACAAGCCTCCTGTCAGCCCAAACCACCATGACGGGTGGCAGAGGAAACCTGCCTGGCAGCAGCAATGCCTGCTATGCACTGGGGAATAGCATAGGACCAGATTCTGCTTCCACTTACAACCCCCTTGCTCTGCTGAGTGGTTCAGCAATGAAATTTAGCCACATAAAACCAACTGACTCAGAGATACAAGTGTATGGCACAGTGACACCCAAAACCTGAAATCCCACTTGGATTTCAATGTTATTTGCTAAGAGGGGTGGAAATGTGAAAGGGAAAAGTCCCCCAGATTGAACGTGGTATAAAATAATGAATTTTTGTTCATTGTGCAAAAATGTTTATTTTTCTGGTTTTGTTCTTCAGGAAAGAAAGTATACCTGATGATGCAGGTCTGGTGTTGAACCAGGAAATACAACTAGGCAGAGGTTTCTGCCAAGAACATGTTCTAGCAGAGCTACAAGACTAAGGTCCTATGCCCCTTCCATCACACTATGGTTTTCACTTGTTCTGGTGAGACTGACCACAGCTATCCTTTGGTCCATGATGCTTCTCGCAAGAGTCGCCTTTTCACAATGAACTCAGACAAACAGAAAATCATGTGCTGAGAAAAAAACAAATGCGTATACTTGGATTCAAAACCCAGCTTGACCATTTGAGCCCACAACTCAAAGACCATGATCAGTTACCAGGTATGAAGTCCAAAAGAACCAGATGCCTGTATTATTTGTGGCTCTAGATTAGCATCATTTATCCTTAACTGTGAACCTCATTTAAAATACACAAAAGCAGCTTTGCCAGTTCTCATTTAATCCCACACAGAAAGTTGCCTTAATTTGCAGTCAGTGGGGAAGTTGGCTGTTACACCTGTGCCATGGCAGCCTGCGTGTGACTTGTACTTTACTACCCTGGTGTGTCTGAAGGGATGCTTCTGGGGGAATAAAGCTGCCACTAAAAATAGAGCAGGGGTTAAAAAAACAAGTTGCTTCGAAATTTTGCATCCAGTTTTCATGCAAACTGAGTGCAGCCCAGAAACGTAATCTCAGATGGCCAATGCAGCTCATCACTGCGGCAAACAGAGCTGGTGCACAAGTATAGCCTTGCTGGCCGCAAAACAGTGAAGGGTCTCCACCTCCAGCTCAGCACTGCCTCTGCACGCAGAGCAAGAGAAAATATAGGAGTAAAGTCAAAGGCAGGCATATTTAGACTGCCCATTAAGCATCATCTCATGAATTAATACTATCAGAAGTATTAACTCCTCCTTAAAGTAACTAATGCATTATCTCATTCTGGGTTTCAGCAGATATAGGAGAAGGACGATGTTCTTCAGAAGTTAGGAAGCTTTCAGCCTCATGAGAAAATATTTCCATCTGGGAAAAGGAACTACCTGCAGGTAGTTAATGTAGTCCCCAGAGGAAAGTAAAACAGAAAAAGTTAAAGTTGTGATATGATTCGTTTGGCTTTCAGAGTTGCAGCAGAAGTGCTCTAATAGATGCCTGCTATTAGCTATTCATTTGTGCCTTTACGTTCAATAAAAATCTGATTCCCAGACCATCAATGGTAAGAAACAGGTCTTACACATAGAAGACACCCCATCTCTTTCACACTTTTAATT